TATTCCTATTATTGACGAGATCAAATCAGTCCCTTGTAAGATTGTTCACCACAAGGTTTCATAGCACATCTCCGCTATATATTAAAAACATCTCCAGATGATGATATCGTTATTGACTAGTGGCATTTTAATTTAAGACAAAACCACGGGCTTCCAGAAAATAAAAATAACAATAAACAAATAAAACCGCAGAATAATTGAATGAGAAATTAAAATCTACCATAATCCTTAATTTCGCTAATCCTTGTCTTCCTATAAATTTTTATTTATTTATTAGTACTTGGGATGAAGCCAAAAGAGTTTAAGAGAAAAAGACAAGCCCCTCCCCGACCACGTCGAACGTTCGGCTATACTCAGTCCCCACTCCCCATTAACGACAAGTTGGATTTCCCACTCTCACATCCCAACTCCCATAGATATTCGGAACAAACTTAAAATAGATATTCTGTTATTTGATTCCTGGTGGTGCGCAATCTGATCCTGCTCGAGAATAGTTTGAACATCCGATTAGATAGGTTACTTGGTCGATTGGTCGAGTTATAAGAAAAGAGAGAAAAGATTAAAGTATTAGGGTTATTTTATTTAGTGTGAGTACTTTATTGTTTAAGTTAGTAAATTTGAGTTTTCTAAGACCTAAAAAATAAGAGAGAGCTAAAGAGCTTGAGTGCTAAAACGTACGTATCTTCTGATGTTAGAGATAAGGCCTTTATATAGGCGAGCTGTTTTGAACCTTCATGAAACGCGTCCAGGATCCCTAATCCGTCTGGTTCAAAGGTGGTTCATGCCTAGAGGTGGACTCCGTATAAGCAAATAATATTTATCCAATCCCGCCCGAAGCAAGTGGGGTGATAATCAGTTCTTCCAATGTGGCGTCATGATCCCGTTGAACGAGGAGGCCACCTGACACATCAAGCAGGTCACTAGCTAAACTTGGGCTAAGTCGGCGGAAGCATGTCACCTCTTACGCCGACCTGGTGTCTTGATGGGTCATTCGCAATTCGATCTGTTGAGGTGGTGCCAAGATCATCAAGGTGGGTGCAAGGTGTCTGAGGTGCTCCTAAAGTTTGCTTATGTGGTATTAAGATATTGTCTAACTGTTTTGAGGTACCACATATCATCATGTCACTAGAGAGCCAAATCATCCCTCATCAATTCTCATTCCCTTGAGTTTTGACTCTTCCATCTCCCATTTGACCCTCCATCACAAAAAGTAACCTTTTGTTATCTATTCATTAGGCATATTTTTAATTTAAATTATCATTAACATGGGAGGTGGTGTGCATGATCGGACTGGGTTAGGTTTGGTTGGATCAACCCTAACACAACTTCATATAGGGCTGAGATTGGACTTGAATTGGGTTGGCCAAATTTTTCTATTTCATTTTGGCAAATGTATTTATTTCTTAGATTCCCAAGGGTTCATGATAATTTAATATTAGTATTATTATGTGTAAAATATCATAATTATCATGTTTTAGAAAAATGTGTTTTTAAACTTAAACTTTTTTATATTCGATATACATGCCTACATGCATGTCTAGATAGATAAATGCATATACAAATAAATACATAAACATTTGCAGTATATATATATATATATATATATCAATAGTGAATAGACATATATATAAGTATTTACATGCATAATTACATATTTATATATTATTCACACATGTAAAAATGAAATTAAGTTGGGTTGGGGTTGGTCAAGGCCTTAACCCTAAGTTATGTTGGTTCCATACTTTTCAATCATGACCTTAACCCAAATTTCAACCCAATCTAACGTAATTCTACCTTTTCGAGCTAGGTTTGGATTAATCCGACCCAAGTTGTAATCCTAATTAGAGGGGAATTATATCTTTTAGAATGCACACAAGTATGTGGATTTTTTTTTTTTTTTTTGGGTGGGGGTGGGGGGCTACACAACAAAGGGTAGCCGCGCAAAAGTTCCAACGCGCAACTACCTTGGTTGAAAAGTTCGTGCACTTAGGCGATAGCAATTGGTTTATTCGGATAAAAACCAACTTGAATAAATTGAAGTTTTAAATAAAAACCAAACTGAAACAAAACAATTGAAATTGAAACTTTTGGTTCAGTTTTCTATTAAAACTGAATTTCATTAATATATTATACAATATATAATATAGATATTAATTATACATATATATATTATGTATAAATAATCAATTTTTAATTTATTCAACTTTTTTTGGTTAATCAAAGTAACCAAACTAAAAAACTAATACCAAAATTTTTTATTTAATTTTTTGGTTTTTACCGAATAATGCTCATCCCTACTTTGACTAATTGGAACAAAGAGACTTGGGATTAATTTTGATGGGCCTATCTTCATTTGGGGTTAAGGGGTTATGAATTTAGGGAATGGACCATCGTGTTATCTAACTCCATGTAATAAAAAAAGAAACAAACAAAAATAAGAAGGGTAACCTTCTCCGGAACCACCAATATTCGTGTATTAATTTGAGGTCTCCAATGCAACTAAAGGTGTAATATAATCGGAAATGTCAGGACAGATTCAATGCAAATTTCTGATTTTTAATGCAGAGATATAAATATTCAAAATAGTAATAACCCATATTATTTGCATCAAAGCCCATCCATGAATTAGTATCAATTTCAAACTGACAGCTATCCAAATTCTGAACCGGGGCTGCAAAACCGTCTATCTCCCTAATATAATTGCATTAGATTTAGATCGAGTCCAGCTACATTCTCATCCAATCCGATTATTTGGATCCTATATCAGATGTAAACTCTTACATGGAAATGCCTAATAATTGGATTTTAGAGTCAAAATCAAATATGGGACCTTTGGAACGTCTCTCAATGATGTCTCTTCATTATTTATCTTCATCCGATCGGAAGATATCGACAATAAACGATTGAAATGTGATGTGGGGCGTTGTAGGGTGCTGATGTGAACTCCTTAAAAAGGCTTTATCAATAGCTAACTGGGGTAGTGGCAGATAATTACCTGTTTAATGTTTAGTTGCAAAATTTGTCAAGGATTCAGTCTGACAACACAGCTCTTTGCCCTTGCCATGTAAAGAGCAAAAAACTATATATGTAGTAATAATAGTATATTTGGTGGTTCGATGATTTTGGTTTCTGTTTTGGTAATTCGTTGATTTTGGTTAATTCTACTGTTTTAATAAAACGATATTAGTGGAAAGAAAATGAGTCAGGAAGCGCATTCACTCACATTCATCATAAGTCATAACGTGCTGTCAACCATTTACACACTATACAGGTGTGTCTGCTCCTGTCTGTATTCGCATTCATTTGTATTTGCCATTAGAAGCTACTACTATTCACGTTACCAACACATCTAATCGACTAATCTCCCCCAAGTCCCCTTCCAATATCTCGCTAAAGGACAGACACGATTCTCTAGGGACCAGGGTCTCTACCGCTAACCAGTGACGATCCCACAACAACGGCCCCTCCCTAACCCCAAGGTTCTTATAATTTTTTTTTTCTCTAAAAGTAGGCAAAATAAGGGAACACTGTAGAATATAGTCATACTGTTGACTGTAGTGTAGACGGCTCTATTTTGATTGGAATCATATATTGCTTTTCCTTTGCTGCCCTTGGATGGTTGAATTTAAAAGAAAAAATCAAAATAAATTGTAAATTTTTAGGTTGGAAAATTGAAAATTCTGGAGGCAATGCAATGGAATGGAAGGGCCTGTTCGTTTTCTCTTAATTTTTGTATCTTAAAAAGAATCTTTTAATTTTAAGAGAAAAAGGGTTATTTGTTTCGTCTTATCTCTTATTTCTTAAAGTACAATCATACAAATTTTTATTTTTCAATGATATTCCCAAAAAGATGAAAAAAACTCAGGGTCAAAATAAACATTTGATAATTTTTAGAATTCAAAATTCAGAATTCAGAACAACATTCTTTGTATTCAAAATTAAGAGGAAAGAAAAATTCATCGATACCAATATATCTCTTAATATAATTATTGCACTTTCATATATTAAATTTTAGAACAAACAAACAATCCCGAAATCTTTAGAGGAGGATCATCTGAATTTACAAGATTAAACTAAATTCCTCATGAATCATAAGATACAAAAGAAAGAGAAAAGAACTAACCAGCGTGTCATCATGAGATTGAACCCGTTTTACCACGCACCAAAAAAAGCGAAAGTATGATTGAGTGAGGGGCATGAAGATAAATGGTCCACCGTCCACTTAAGTTACACCATCTGATGGGCATCACATATACCTTGAATCTGTCATAGTTGGTCGATAATGGCCTATGAGGTTTAAGGACCACCTTATAACGATGTTACCACTTACCACAATTGAATTATATTGTGAAAGTAGAGAAACGCCCCCAACCCAAGTCCCCAAGTCTGTTTCACTGGAATTCAGATCCAAACTCGTTTCACTGTTCATGTGAACTCGCATAATGCCCAGAGATTTTTTTAAAGAGATTAAGTGGTCGTGGCTGGAAAACGAAATACTACCCCTACCTCTAATCTAATACGTGAGAAAGAACAGATATCGTTTGTTTCATATTTTCTCGCGCTTTCAGTTGTATATCGCGACAAAGGAAAAAAAGAAGGTAGAGAATAGAGATTGAGAAAAAAAAAAGTTGATTAAAAAACAGGAATGCCACTTGCACAGCGCACATCGGGTGTCGGTACGTCTTCAGATCTCTAGTTTTAAATTAAGTTTCAACCTTCTTTTCCTGTCATTTCTCTATTCCATTTTTTTCCCTCTTTGTCCCGCACCTCTCTCTCTCTCTCCAACATTTTATTATTCCTTCTCCACCTTTATCTCGTTTTGACCGGTACCCTCCTAACCTTTATACGGCTCTATATAATCCTTGCCCCCCTTCTTTCCTCAGTCCTCTCTCTCTCTCTCTCTCTCTCTCTCTACAGTCTCTTTTTTCTAATTCACTGCGCCTCCCGCGTAATCTCTCCACCCTCCCTCTCTCCCACTCCTACGCTCTTTATCTTCTCTAATGGCAGAAAAGCCCTTAAAACGCCTCAGAGAAGGTACGCAAATAGAAGACGAAGAAGAGACGAAACGTCGTCGGTCCTACAATCACATCCTCTCTCTACTTGAAGCAGATCATGAAGAGGAAGTCAACCAGGATCTCTCTTCTTTAATGGCAACACTCCAAGAAGAGATATCCTACGGGACTACCTCCCACCCTCCCCCTCCCGCCAAACAAATTCCCTCTGAGGCTGAAACCAACAACCCCACTACTGCCGCGTCGTCTGCGGCTAGTGTTAAGGATGATGAAGATGAGCAAGAGAAGGGAGCAGTTATAAAGGACCTTTTTGAAGCATCAGATGATGAACTAGGGATTCCTCACAAAGATATCAGAGTAGGCGAAGAGGAATATGAAGGTATCGACCCTGAAACTGGAACCGGTGCTGGGTTGTCTTGCTGGTACGATGATAGGTTCTGGGAGTTGGATGATGTGGCTGCCAATTACTATTCTTTTGTGCAGTCGGAGCTCTTCATGTAATCTCTTTCCGGAGAAAAAAATGGTTGTATAAACAAAAGAAGAAATTAGGAGCAGAAGAAAAGAAATAAAAAAAAAACAGGAAAAAAAGAAGAGATATTAGGGTTGTTTACAGGGAGTTTTTTGGAATTTCATTTTGATTCCCTTGTTTTTTTTTTTTTTTGAAATACCCAGCAAAATTCCCTTTCTTTCTTTGCCTAAAAATTAAAATCTAATGTAGATGAGGACCGAAGAGGAGGCAATGAGGCAATTATTTCTTTTTCCGTCCTACATCTTTTCTCCCACTCGTCCATCTTTAGCTGTTTTTCCTTTTCTATTATTAATATATCTGAAAACGTCAAAAATCAAACTGGCTAAGTTCCGGTAATGGCTAACGAGTACCGGGAGATGCGGGAGCACTATGCAGTATATATGTACGAGCCGGACCCCGTAAGGGCCGTTTTGAGCAGTACCACACCTGTGAGGCTGTAAGCCTGTAACCTCCTCCCAAAATTGGTGGTAAGTGGGGTTTGATTCCCCGGTCTCTGTTAAAAGTTGAAACAGCAACGATCCACTAAACATACGAATTGAGCCACCCGTCAGTTGGTAACACTGCACATGAATCAGGTGTTCTTATCCACAGGGTGCTCCAATAATAAATCCAGCCTATATATTCAACAATTCCTCTTAATTCCGAAGAATCAATGAAACTGATTTTTTTTTTTCTTAATGAAACCGGTCGACTTATCATCCAAGAAAGTTTTCGGTTTCGGGTAATTACCATCACCTCCCAAGAACTTTACATGGTTGCTATGACATAGTTGCAAGTATACTTTTAAATCCTCTAAAAAGATGTGCGAAATTGTTCATAAACCCATACAGTTATTTTGACCAAAATGTTAATTTTATAAGTTTTTTCTATGAATCTCTATTCTTAATTCTTTCATTTTAAATTTGTTTTTCATATTTTTCAAGGTAAATCTACAACTTTAAATTTTCTTTTTTTTGGTTTTAATAAGGTTTGTATTTATTTGTAAAATCAGCATCAATAGTAATTATATGGGTATTTTAGATATTTTTATGCCTCTTTTTAGAAGATTCTAATGGGGGAGGGGGGGATTGCAATTATGTCAAAAAAATCAAAGGGCTCTATGTTGGTTTTTGCTAGTCCATGGGAGACGCCGCTTATGTGCCAAAGGGGGACTGCACCAATTATGTTCTAGGCAACCACTAGGCCTTGAGAACCCACCCGCATGCTAGGATAACAAGATAACTCGATCAATTTAACACAACCCTGGCAAGGTATAAGGACATGCTTGGGCCAGACCCATGTGCAAAGCCTCCCCTTCATGTGCGTTATGCAGTATTAATTCGTGCATTGTCTCCATGAGTGATTGTTTGTACATGAGAAACCAGGGTAGCCATGCTAGCCATTAACCAGGGCCACCCTACAAGGGATGTTTGTCTTGGGAGTGCCAAGGGTAGGCACCTAAAGAGGTCGATCACCGCTCCTCAAAGAGGATGTTAAGCTTTTGGAGGTTTGCCAAAAGGGTACATCACATTTTCGAAAATCATATTGGTAGTATTTATGATAATGACACTCAAAACAACCCGTCAAGTGTAGATAAGGCTTAGTCAGTGTCAGACCATGATATTGAAGTGAGGCACACATATTTTGTCTCAAGGCTTAAGCCTCACAATTTTGATGTGAGACTTAAGCCTTTGTTAAGATGAGGCATAAGACGTAAGCCTTAAAGCATGAGGTGTAGCTTAAGGTGTAAAAAGGCATAGGCTTGAAGTACCAATTTACCAATGATTATTTATTGATTTAATGCAAAAAGTATATATGTTTTTTAGTTCAAAATATATGGAAGAAGTACTTCAATAATTATGAACCGAATAAATAAAAAGTAAAAATGAAAAAAAAAACAATCGGGAAAATCAAGTTCTATTAATTTCTCTTAGTATTTTAGGAAAGTTCAGTGCCAAACGGGCCAATCAAGTTCTTAATTTCTCTTGGATATATCAAGTGATTTTTCTTATTATTCTAATTCTAACATCCTATGTTTGTCACTTTTCTCATTTCTCTTTTTTTCTAAACTATTGAATGACCATAAATCTAATATCTATTTATATGGATGATTCTTCATTTGTTTCCTTTCTTTCAAATTGGTCATTTGAATTATTTAAGAACTTTTCACTTTTAAACATGAAATGTAAAATGTTTACAATTGTTGGAAAATTCGTTATTATTTTATTTAATTATTAACTATTGAACCTTATTGGTTATAAACTTTTATTTTATGGATATTTATACCTTCTTTCATTCTAACTTAGTATATTATATGGTATTTTTATCAATTTATAAACTTTGATTAATTTTGTTCTTAATCTTTGAAGCTTATGCCTCACAACATCTTAAGGCCTACGCCTCACCTTTTTGGGCCATTATGCCTCAACTATGCCTTTAGCCTTTTAAAACCTTGGTTGTAGGTCAATGGTTCAACTGTCTATTTTGAACAAGTCAGAATGTGACACATTAGTACACACATTTACATGCATAAATATGTATTATATCATTTAAATAAGTGAAATTTATGATTTGCTCCCCCTCAAAAATTCTTATTGGTTTTTTGAATGTATTGTCCCAAACTCCCACCTATGCTACAATACCCCTTGTGTGATAAATTCCCTCACTTGTCATTCTTCCACTTGTACAAACATATACAAATTTATGGGGTAGAGGAATTTATAAAAGCCCCTTTAAATAATGCATAATTACATTTTACATATAATATGAGTGTATATATGTATTATTTTATCTATAAATTTGGGATTTAAGGCCAAAAAAAGGGTTGTTTTGGCTAAAATATCATAATAAGGTACCTTGGAATGCATAGATCTTCAAAAATTACTCAAAATCAAGAAAAACCTTAATTAGATAACCAACTGCAAAATTATGGCCTCTGAAAATTTTGACATAAATATAGTGTGTAATCTGTGTATTGGTGGCTAGGTTGAATGGATCAATACTTTAATTTCCCGAATTAGATGGTTTTCGACCAAGTCGATGGTTTTTGGTCAATTTTCAACTTTTAAAAAATTGGACCAAAAAAAAGAGCCAGGTGATAGGTCAAAAGAATAGGGGTGGGTTGAAAACATTAGTACAAATGGCTGGTGAATAGCTTCGTTGTTGTTCACCCCTAATTTCAAAATGATGAGAAAAAAGGCATGTGTATTTATAGGATTTTTTTGCATTCCCTAGATCATTGACGGGAGAGTAATTGTTCTATGTTGTTGTTTCATGATACATATTGAACAAATATGCAATAAAGAAAAAAAAAGGGGTAAATGGAAAGGACATGGATGGATGTATTTACAATTTTAGGGGAAACAAAGATGGTGTTTAATTCCATTGCCATTTATTTGAAAAATGACACCAGCTCAGCGATACATAGGCATTTCTCTAATGGAGTTTAAAATGTTGTTTAGTTAAACCATTTATCAAATAAATGTTTTTTCTAAGGTTGTGTGGAAAAGGTCTTTTGATGTTTCCCTCAACACTTAAGTGTTTTTTCTCTATTCATCTTATGTGACACCCAGCTGTAAAAACAAAAAAAAACGCTAATAAACATCTTTCAATCACTTTTCTTGTTTTTCAAGGAAGATGTCACACAAAACGCTTATTTAATAAATGGAAATTTATACTACTATACAAAAGTGTGAATAGCTCTACATGGTTTCTAGATTTTTTAAGCTAAAGTAACGTCTTTTTATATTTGGAACTCTCTATTATGGGGGCATAAATTGTAATTTGAATATTACTTTTTGGTGCATTTAATTCCCTCATTAAGTCTCATATTTAAGGCATTAACTTCCATTCTCTCTCATTGAATCCTATATTTATTGTATTTTGTTTTATAATCATTAAATTTCACTAATTAAATCCATGAATGCTGATATTAATAGTATAAAAAACCTATATTTTTATAATGAACTAAAAATTAAATCAGTTTTTCTAAGTGGCAACTAAGTAGTTCTACCATTTGGGTCAAATAAGTGAATCCATGATGTTATAATCAAATACTAAAAATTTAAAAATAGATAAAAACATAAATAGAAAAATTAGAAAATTTCAAGCATATATCTAATATTATATATTTGTCATATTAAAAAATAGGTATAATAAATAAAAAGTATTTTTTATTAATGATGGAAATGGGATACAAAATATAAAACTAATCCATAAATGAAGATATTTTCCTCTCTAAATGGTTGGTCAATAGTTCAATTATTTAGATAATTGGATTAACCCATGATGTCATAATTAAATAATATTTTTTTAAATAGTAAAAATACATATAATAGAAAATTTTAGACACACCTTTAATATTATATATTAATTCATATTAAAAATAAATAAATGTGACAAATAAGAATTATTTTTATTAGTAATGTAATGAAATACAAAATTTAAAACCAAATCGGTTAACCCATGTTGTTATAGTTGAATAATAAAACTAAAAAATATAGAAATATAAAAAATATAAAATTTTAGTAGAATATTTGGCACATGTCTAATATTATATAGCCATCATTTTAAATAAAATAAGTGTGATCAATAAAAATTATTTTCAATAATGGTGGAAATGGAATAAAAAATTTAAAATTGTCTCAAAAAAGAAATGTTTCCATTCAGCGAATGATTCAAGAATCCAATAGTCTAGGTTAACCCATTATGTCACAATTAAATAATAAAAATAAAAATAGATAGAAATACTGAGATCTATAAAGAAAAACAGAAAAAAAAATTTGAAGACATCCATGATATTATACATTCATCATATTATACAAAAAATGTGTGTCATACTTAAATAATAAAAATTTATAAGTAGATATAAGATTATGGAATGAATTAAAAAAATTCCAAACACATGTATGATTTTATTATTGTTATTACAATTATTATTATCTAAAATTTCCATATATAACGCATACGCATTTGCTAGTGGAACTAAAAGTGC